TGCAAGTTTCATGTAAATTGAATAAAAAATGAAAGAGTAGAGATAACGTCTATGTTACTTGAAAATGAATAGGTAAAAAATAAAGTAAGGTTCTGCCATCTGTGGCTGAGGTTGACATCAACCAATTTCCTCCAAAATTGGCACCCTTACAGATAGGCTTACGTGCAGTCAGGTGTATAAGTTTCATGCAAATCGTCCGGTAAACAAATAAAAAAAATCATTTTTTTGTTTAACTTTTTTTTGTATAAAACTAATTATTAAAATTTTTATTATATGCTATTGTAATAGCTGAGAGTCATAGACATCATTTCAGTTGACACTTGTGTTTGATGTTAATTTTTTACCATTTTCGAAAAATTTTGACACATAATTCAATATATTTTTCTCCCTTCCTATTTATGCTGCGATGCTGAGACTTTGATCAGATGAAACCCTTTTCCTAAACAACTAGTCAAGAAAGTTTGATTGAAATCGGACTAGTTTTCATTTATTGCATATTTTGGGCATATTTGGACCCCGTGCTCCCTTAACTCAGTTAGAGATTGCTCCTTACAGTTCATTCGCTTACACTGGGTTCTTATTGAGGTTAATTGCATACATATTTTTTAAGGTACATATTATAGAGGTCAACAGGTCAGGTCACCGTATCCAACACTGGACAATTAGAACAGGATCGAACCAACTGATCAGTGAAGTGCACATGTTCAAATTGGAACCTGAAAGATAAAACTTATTTGCCTGAACTTATATGCTAACACGTTGGGTTTATATATTGAAGCCTAGTAAAATATATATATATATATATATATATATATATATATATATATATATATATATATATATATATATATATATATAATATATTAGGGGTACCACCTCTGGTGCAATTGCAGGGATCCACACCCTCGAAGAAGAAAACAAAGAGCATTCAGAGAAGATCTTGTGGATTCTCACTGAATACTTTAATCTTTTCTTCCCCTACCACCCCTATTATTTTTTGTATGTTTTGTTTTATTTTATTGCAATGCTACAGTTTACAGAGAACACACACACACACAAATATATAACAATTAAACAATCAGTGTTCGAAGACCTCGTCCAGCTCCTCGGAGGTTGGGTGTGTACCCAGGATACAGCACGCATTTCCCCTCTGAACCGCAACACTGAGGCGCTGGAACAGGAAACTGACTGCTCGTAGGTCTCTAGTTTTCACAATGAGTTCCTCACCCACCTCCTTTAAAAACTTGAGTGCACATTTACCCCAGGCGCCCAGAGTCCCAGAGCCTATCGGCACGAACCTGTAACAACGTTCTAGGTCTCTGTACTTGTTGATTTTCTGGGTCTCCCTGAAGGTGGCTGCCCCACCTCCCTCCACTGAGCTGTAACTTAGATAGGTATCAGCCAATGTAGATGCACACTGCACAATTGAGGTTCCCTTTGTGCTGGGCACCCAGCTGTAGCCAAACTTCTCTTGATGATGACATTGACTGCTTCATGTCTGGCAATCTTTCCCTGTGTCTTACGACAGATGAGACCATGGCTGCCGTATTGGTCTGCCCGTGCATGGCCGCAAATACACCGGTGTTCGGTGGAGATAGGGGCGGCAAGGCGCAGGGCAACACCAATACTTAGGGTCCGATGGTCCAGGCGGGTGCCCAAGGCGGAATTAGGGACTGCCAACAGGAAGTCCCCAGCATGGGGGGCTTGCACAGCTAGGAGATGCGCTCTATCCTTCTGAGAAGCTGCCTCGTGCAATGCTTTGGCGATGTTTTTCACTATGGGGCTATCCCATTTGGCCTGTTTACCGTCGTTTGGAAAAGTTGTTCGAGTGTGTGAATTGGCAAGAGTGTTCCACTGGTCAGCTCCTTCCACAAATTTGGGATTACGAATCTCAATGAAGTTCTTTAGGTATTCTGGAAATATTTCATTCACTAATTCACTTGTAGCACTGGTTGAGGATAAGAATGCCGGCAATGCTAACTGTGTCGCCTTGCGAATACCTATACCCCCGAGTCTAACTGGGAGCGTTGCTTGGTCCCACTGGTCATCTTGCAGGGAGAGGTTTAACACTTTCATGGTTATTGACTTTAGGAGTGAGTCATATTCCATTAACTTTGAGCTGTCGAAGGAAGGAGCACACCTGAGGAAATAGGTAAGTCTGGGTAAGGCCAGGCACCTTGTAAGAAGGTACAAAGCATCGTGAGCATCCAAAGCCCCTATTCTCGCCTCCATCCTCCTCAGGTCTTTAAGCTTAACTTTTCTTCGGGGACTACCTCAATGGCGTTCGAGCCCAGAGGTGCCCCTAGCAGCACACTGTCGGTGGGAGCGATCACTTGGGCTCCTGGCAATAAGATTCGTACTGCATCTATGATTGGTTGGCTACCTTACCTTGAGGTTACCTTGAGGTGCTTCCGGGGCTTAGCGTCCCCGCGGCCCGGTCGTCGACCAGGCCTCCTGGTTGCCGGACTGATCAACCAGGCTGTTGGACGCGGCTGCTCGCAGCCTGACGTATGAGTCACAGCCTGGTTGATCAGGTATCCTTTGGAGGTGCTTATCCAGTTCTCTCTTGAACACTGTGAGGGGTCGGCCAGTTATGCCCCTTATGTGTAGTGGAAGCGTGTTGAACAGTCTCGGACCTCTGATGTTGATAGAGTTCTCTCTCAGAGTACCTGTTGCACCTCTGCTTTTCAACGGGGGTATTCTGCACATCCTGCCATGTCTTCTGGTCTCATGTGATGGCTGGATGAAATGATTTCACACTTTGATGGATTTAGTGTAAGGCCTAACTCCTCTCCCTTAGTTTTCACTAGCTGAAGATCTCCTAGCAGGGATTCCTGTGTCCCTGCCAGGGTGCCATCGTCCAGGAACCAGATGTTGAATTCGCTGGACAACCTGCTTGTGACCTCTTTAGCTGCCATGCAGAAAAGGAAAGGGGCAAGTGGGTCTCCCTGCTGGACACCTTGTGCAGAAACAACTTCATGTTCCCCAAACAACAGTGTCGATTCCCTACTGTACCCTGCTGAGACGAAGGGAAGTAGACAAGGAAAGCTTGTTCGAACTGCTTCCAGTACCACATCCCATTTTACCTGGTTGAAGGCATTTTTAAAGTCTAATTTAATTAATGCCTTATTTTCTGGGAGGTGCTTGATATAGGCTCGTGCTGCATGAGCTGCTGCTTCACAGCCATGGGGGACACCAAAACCTAGTTGATGGGGTCGAAGCATCGTTGCAGCGTCTACGCTAATTTTTTTGACAGCTGCCCTAGCAACAAGGCGCCGAAGTGTGTTACCCACGGCAATGGGTCTGACTCCCCCATCCTTTGTGGGAACCTACCTGTGAGATTTATATTTATTTAATTTATATGAATTTATATTTACGTTAATTTATATACTTCGATAGCAATTTGTATAATGATAAGTGGACTGTATTTCTGCAATAATCTCATAATCTCACAAATCGATCCTCTACACATTAGGGGGGTTTATTAAATTTATATATATGCAGCCAATCAAACTACAGGAATAGACTACATACATTGAAAAGGTTCCTTATCTTATAGTACAGCAGGTTAGTCCACCAGGTATAACTAGGGTGTAGACACCAAATTATCCTCTTTGAGGTAGCTTCCATCACCCAGTAACTGGTGCACAAAATCTTGCATCCTCGTCTTGACCTGTTAAAAGGGCGCTAGCTGTGAAGCCAGAAACCTAGTATATGACAGGTATTTCAGAGAAACATTGTACATGGAACAATAAAGACCTGGCTTAATTACCTTTAGTATGAGGCGATTTCGCGTTCTAACCGGCAAACCCTACCCAATGACATTAATGGCCACTAATGATAGATAATGGGTTTCGGAAAGAACACTTAACTTGAATTTGTAGACAGCGTGTTTATAATGGTACACTTCTGGTTTCCATAACACTACGTCCAAGTAAATTAACAGGAGCCGAATTTGCTCCCGTGTGAGCCTCTGGTCTCAATATAAAACAATGGCTGCCCTCCTTCCTCACTCTGACGCCTGGCTTACATTGTCCACATGTCAGAAAGTGATAGAAGGGTCACATTTACTCTACTTTAATATTGATAATTAAGTTAATTTATATGAGATGTTTTATGATGGTAAAGTCCAAAGACTAATGTATTTAAGAATAATTCCCACCATAATAGGTGGTGATTTATAATAGTATGTGGTGATGATATCCCGTTTTCTTTAGACGGTAATTCCACTACAAGTTACGTTTTCTATGGGTAACTTGTTTATACAACACAGCTATTATCTGTATGATATATTAAATGGTGTCGGATTTTCCGACATCCTTCTTCTTAAGGGCACAAAGGGATGCTCCAAAGAAGAAGGGTTTAATTGTATCTGGGATCAACCCGGAGAGACAGTCGTTGACAAACTTCGTGATCTCTGGCAGTAGTGTCTCGGCAACTTCGCCGAGAACTGGGTTTGTCATCTCCTTGAGGTGTTGAGGTCTTACTCCAGTGTATCCCCCTGCTGAGCCTGGCGGAAATGACATGATGGCTTTGTATACCTCTGATGCTTGGAGGAATAGAGGTCCCATGTCTGGGACATTTGTGTCCCGAGCAGTGGGTTCCCATGGTACTCTGGGAGGGTGCTTCTCTCTCAGTGAGTCGGCAGTTGCAGTATTTCTAGGGGCGATTGTTTCTTCACTGGTAAGTAACCTAATTGCCCCTACTGTGTTGCCCTCTTCAATTTTCTTGGTCACTTGTGTTCCAAGCTTAAAATTGTCATTGGAACTCTTGGGTCTGCCACGACGGTTTTTGCGTTGAGGAGGGATGGGGATCAAGTTGTCAGCTCTGGGGAAATTATTTATTGCCCTAGTGACTGATGAGGCTAGTGACTTGCCTCCTCTTGCAGGTACGCCTAAGCAAATATTGCCAAACAGGAGCAAATTATGCCATGCTTTGATGGTGGCCGCGGCATTAAGATTTTCAGACCGTTCATTCACTTTCCTTAGAAGGTCTGTATATTTCCCTGCTGCAAATGGGCGCGCTGCTTTAGGAATGTGGGGAAGAGTTCTGGTGGTGGATGCTTTGATGGCCCCCAGGAGGTCATATATATATATATAATTAGTTTTGTCTGAGTTGGGGTTTTAAAAGAACTTATGTTTATATGGTATTTCCTAACTAAATTGATTCACCTGTTTAAAGTAAAGATCACATAACTACTTTCATTATCTCTTAATTGCTCCATCATGGACGTAGCATGCTGAAACAGAAGTAATTAATGATGTGTCTAGCTCATCAAGAAATTGGTTTATTTAACAAACTGCTGAAACTGCAGTAAATAATGATGTACATAGCTCATTAACAAATTGGTTTCTATCGCCAATTTTTTGACACAAAATCGTGGAATCGAATCTCTTTAGTTAGTTCTGCGATTTCTATAACCAGACGCTTAAGATAATCTGAGCTACTGACAGACGTATGAGTAGCGATCGTCAGGTCATAAGGGGTCTTAGCATGGGCGATGCGGTCCTCGGTTGACTGGAGAAAGTCCGGCCAAGATTCCAACTTTTTTAGGAGGTCTGTGATCTTATCAGTTATGCGTTTTATGTAATTATCTCTTTCCTGGAAAAAGCTGAGTTCTGTTTGATACTGTTTTTCTTGTTCTAATACATGGGACTTTACTGCATTTAATTCATTTTTCAATAGGCTTATCATAATGTTTTCAAAGCGTACTGCGTTTGCATAGGTCTCCTGCGCTTCTGCTTGCGCAGTGGCAAAAGTCGCATTTCTACACGTTCCGCGCGGTGGCTCAGGATGTTCCAACACACAGTCCCGACACACCCACACGTCACACGTCTGACACCTGAAGAGCAGGGAGAAGCCATGACACTCACACTTCCCCGCATCAACCTGACGACTACCCTCGACTTGAGAGGAGGAGGAGTCGACTTCTTTCCGTTGCATCTCTCGCTTTTTCTTGAGCCGGCAGGATAATGTCAGTAGGGTATAGCCGATGGGCAGGTCGTCGGAGGTGGCGGCAGTGATGGGGACGCGGCATTCGGGACATTTACCGTCCCTGGCGAGGACTTCGTCCACACACAGCGTGCAGATGGAGTGACCACAAGGGAGGTTCCGAGGGGTTCTGTCATCGCTGTATTCTTGGTCACAGATGCTACACGTCACCTCCAGGTCCTCCATCTCTACCTGTAATGATGAGTGGATATTCCATTATCTAACATAATTAATTAACTGTTTATACAAAGGTAGAGGAAGAAAATGCTGCTGTCACTGTAAGGGTCAGAAAGACTCTTATGGAGCAAGACTCTTATAGCAAGGGACTATGGCGCCATATCTATTAAGACCTTAGCGTCCTGGGGCTCACGAACATAACTGTTTATTCACTGTATTGGATATAAATGTTTATACACTGTATTGGGTATTTATATTGGGTATAAATGTTTATACAGTCCTTACATCATTAATCAACGTTACCATACATAATTATTATAAATATTAATTAATTTTAGACAAACACAACTACCATTCTTGATTTGACTTCACTCTGCGTGTCATAATGCACTACAATAATATATTTGTTCTGTAGTGTATTATTGTAGTTTAACTTAAAACTCTTTATCTTTTTAACTTCGTGGTTTTCTACTCGTTTATACTGATATTTGGCCTTTAAGTTTTTCTTCATTTCAAAATCTGGTAAGTTGATTTAGACACTTAAGTTACAATTCAAGGGATTGAGAAGCTTAAGCTAATGCCACCCTACTCACCTATTACTCACCTAGTGTTCTCTGGGGTGTGGTAGGTGAGAACCATTGTTCTCTGGGCTGTGTTAGGTGGAGAGCCTATATTCTCTGGGCTGTGGTAGGTGGGAAACCTTTGTTTTCTGGGCTGTGGTAGGTGGGAAACCTTTGTTCTCTGGGCTGTGGTAGGTGAGAAACCTTTGTTTTCTGGGCTGTGGTAGGTGGGAAACCTTTGTTCTCTGGGCTGTGGTAGGTGAGAAACCTTTGTTTTCTGGGCTGTGGTAGGTGAGAAACCTTTGCTCTCTGGGCTGTGGTAGGTGAGAAACCTTTGCTCTCTGGGCTGTGGTAGGTGAGAAACCTTTGCTCTCTGGGCTGTGGTAGGTGAGAAACCTTTGCTCTCTGGGCTGTGGTAGGTGAGAAACCTTTGCTCTCTGGGCTGTGGTAGGTGAGAAACCTTTGCTCTCTGGGCTGTGGTAGGTGGGAACCTTTGCTCTCTGGGCTGTGGTAGGTGGGAACCTTTGTTCTCTGGGCTGTGGTAGGTGGGAACCTTTGCTCTCTGGGCTGTGGTAGGTGGGAACCTTTGCTCTCTGGGCTGTGGTAGGTGAGAAACCTTTGCTCTCTGGGCTGTGGTAGGTGGGAACCTTTGCTCTCTGGGCTGTGGTAGGTGGGAACCTTTGTTCTCTGGGCTGTGGTAGGTGGGAACCTTTGCTCTCTGGGTTACGGTAGGTGGGAACCTTTGCTCTCTGGGCTGTGGTAGGTGGGAACCTTTGCTCTCTGGGCTGTGGTAGGTGGGAACCTTTGCTCTCTGGGCTGTGGTAGGTGGGAACCTTTGCTCTCTGGGTTACGGTAGGTGGGAACCTTTGCTCTCTGGGTTACGGTAGGTGGGAACCTTTGCTCTCTGGGTTACGGTAGGTGGGAACCTTTGCTCTCTGGGTTACGGTAGGTGAGAAACCTTTGCTCTCTGGGCTGTGGTAGGTGGGAACCTTTGTTCTCTGGGTTACGGTAGGTGGGGTCTGGAGATAATATATACCTTGAACTAAAGACATGATAAAGAAGATCTCTCACCTGTAAAAAATCATTGTACTGAACAGGTATTTACCTCATAGCCTCCGGATGTTAGTTTACTATCGGTATAATTGATGATAAGGTGCGAAGATAAACGCCAAAGCTAATGTCAAGCAGCCAGCGAGGTCTGATTTAAGATTGTGCCCATTGTTATCTCTGTGTACTACCGCCCACAGGATGAGTATGGGGTACACAATAAACTACCGCTCACAGGATGAGTATGGGGTACACAATAAACTACCGCTCACAGGATGAGTATGGAGTACACAATAAACTACCGCCCACAGGATGAGTATGGGGTACACAATAAACTACCGCTCACAGGATGAGTATGGAGTACACAATAAACTACCGCTCACAGGATGAGTATGGAGTAAACAATAAACTACCGCCCACAGGATGAGTATGGAGTACACAATAAACTACCGCTCACAGGATGAGTATGGAGTAAACAATAAACTACCGCCCACAGGATGAGTATGAAGTTCACAATACCGTTCACAGGATGAGTACAGGGTACACAATACCGCTCACAGGATGAGTACAGGGTACACAATAAAGCTACATGAAGTGGTAGCCTCAGCGGAGTAGCCTACAGTAGGAACATGCACGAAAAGTCAAGTGAAACTTACAACACCAACAATAAGCACAGCATTAGGCTATAAACTTCAAAAAAAGAGCATCACGGCCGGCCATGCAACCGAAACTGTGGAATTAATTACAGTTTTTCCCAGACGTGGAGTGAAGGTGACAGTTGAGTAGACAGAAGACGTAGTATAGATGCAGTACGGGTTTCCCTGACAGGTTCTCTTCGCGTGCGAGTGTGCAAGCAAGAGACAGATTGAGAGTTGCCTGTTAGAAGTTTAAAACAGGAGCTCTGTTTGAGGGCGGACTCTACAAATAACATTCAGAACGATTAGTGACATGTGTTCGTAAAATCCTGACCAGCCCTATGCTTGCTGTGATCCCTAGCAGGTTGCGAGGCTAAAATAGGATATATTAGTTAGAAATAACATACCCTGGAAGTCTCAGTGTTGCCATCTTTTAGAATGCCGAGAACTATACTATTAGTTTAGCGCTCTATACACCAAGCGCTACTCGTGTGTATCGTGTTGTAGGGCAAATGGTCTGTTCGTGTAAGCTATATGCATACAACCCTCCTCTTTCCATTTATTGTGAATGTTATGAGGTATATTAATAATCGCGAGAACTCCTGCGTTCTGGCATGCCTCGAATTCAAGATAATTGTTCAACAATTCCCGTTTTCTATGTCGTCTAGCGCCAGGACGAAAATCACATAAACAAATCGATTTCATCACTCAATCCTCAGAAAGCTAAACAAATGCATTGAAAATTAAGTGAGAAATTTAAAGATGCATTAGACAGTGTCAATATGCAATGCTTTATCTGTTTGGCAGGTTGTCAATACGCTCCTGTATTGGCGCTATGTATACATACTTGTATTTATTAATTATACTTGACACCTCTTAGCACTAACTAATTTAAAATTTCGCCGCGATTTATTGAGTAGCGTCACTGCGCAATGTTCCTCGTTAGTCTTCCCATCTTCCCGGGTCTGGCCAATATCATTAATTTGAATTATGACAATGAATCATCAAGTAAATCACATACCATGTAAATCCTCCAACCAAGTTTGACTATTGGTGCTGGTTCTCGGTCGAGTTATTATTCTTATTTTGACAGTAAAGTTACTTTACAGCTTTGAGAACGTATAACAGGGACCAGCTACTGAACGCATTATGCAAGGGTAACCTATCCGCCCCTTGCCCATAGTATGGGTTTATGGTGTGACACTGGAAGGATCAGATCGTTTCCTGACTTGTGCTTCAAACTCACATAGATTGATTGATTAAGATTAAGCCAACCAGGAGGTGGCACGAGCATGAATAACCCGTAAAACTCACACAGTATCTTGAACCACCCACTTCCACAATATTAGTACTTAAGACATATAGCCTCACCAGTGTAATCACCTCTGGCAACTGACTTTGTAGTTATTTGTTGATATACAAACATTGCTACAAATGTACCCTTTCATCTTACCTGATATATTAGATTAAGGACCTGCCTGAAAGGCTATGTGTGCTAGTGCCTGTAGACGTTAGTTAGTTTAATTCATTTATTATGCACCCCATGTACACGAATGTAAGAACTCTTGTATATATAAATTAATTAAATAAATATAAATAAAGCTATGTCGAGTTGAAAGTCTAATTTAATCTTCCAGACGCATGGCTAAATATTAGTTTACGTCTTAGTTTACGACTTTAAGTAACTTAGTTTAAGTTACCATAACAAATAATATTAATGCTTATGCAGAAGCGTAAGGTTAAAAAGAATTACTGTAATAGTTTTACCGGAATATTATCCGAGTTTCCATTTTCTATAACGTATGCTATGTATAGAAAATGGAGTAAAACCCACACCATAATCTATTATTACTAAAATATACAGTTCAGTTTGACGCCTATATATATGTGTTAGTGTTTTTAATGTGCTTTGGTGAATGCCTCTTTCTAGGTTATGTCAGGATAGATTAGGTTAGGTTATGTCAGGATAGATTAGGTTAGGTTAGGTCAGGATAGATTAGGTTAGATTAGGTCTGCATTTATTTATTTATTTATTTATGCATATACAAGAATGTACATAAGGAATGTGAGGATACAAATATAATATGGTAATTACAGTCTTGTAAAGCCACTAGCACGCGCAGCGTTTCGGGCATAGATTAGGTTAGATTAGGTCTGCATAGATAAGGTTAGGATAGGTTAGATTTGGCTGTTATTGTGAACATTAATTACTATGCGAACAGGCTTGAATGGTCCCCGAGCATATATGCGAATGAAAACTCTACACCCCAGAAGTGACTCGAACCCGGACTGCCATTATATATTAATATAATATATATATATATATATATATATATATATATATATATATATATATATATATATATATATATATATTGATACTGTTACAAAAAAGTGCCGTTTTTAAATAAATTTTTATATATAATTTGTTAAATCTCTTTACAAGTATTACAATAATTTCTATGTATATTGCTATAACTGGAGCTTTCTCAAATTTCACAAAATTGTCAATCATTTTCAAAATTTTTTAAACAATTACAAATATTTAGAATGTTATCTTATCTCATTTAGTTTGAAATATTACCCCATTAAACTTATATAATATTCTTCCAATTATTTTTGTGTTATACCAGAAACGTTCTATGTGTTATGGCAACTTCATGTATTATAATAAGTGTCCTACCTATGTATTCTCCACTGTTCATGTATTTATTTATCATGTTTGAACTCTTGTATAGCTAAAATATTATTATACTTACGTATTTGTGTATTTTATGTAAAGATTTACACCAAGTGTTTGACACCAAGTCAAACCAACAACTTCACGAACACGAGGACACAGATTCACTCTGCTGAGTGCTTTGTCAAAGTCTGAGTGTGTGTGAGTTAGGACGAGACTTGCATCTCAACGACTAATTCGGTTGTTACCCAGGCTCCAGTCTTCTTATCCTTCTTATCCAGGGGCCTCCCGGCTGAGTGGTGTAGCGCCCGGGGGTCGTAGTCCTAAGGGCTCGGATTCGATACCCTGTAGTGGTAGAAACAAATGAAGTTTCTTTCACATCGATCCCCCTGTTCACCTAGCAGTAACTAGGTACTTGGGACTTACACATCTGCATCCTGTGTGGGATGTGTGTGTATGTGTGTTAGAGAGAAATATATGTAGTAGACATAATATAGGAAAAATAGATTGGTTAGAAAGGGTTCAAGAGCTAATAGCGCCATTCTGCAGACACAACTAGTAAATACACAGTAATGTTTATCGTCTACATAAACCATCTACCAGAAGGAATAGAGACCTATATAAACATATTTGCGGATGATGCTAAGATACTGGGGGAGATAAGAGACGCAGACGATTGTAATGTTCTTCAAATTGATCTAGATAAAATATGTGCTTGGAGCGACAAGTGGCAAATGGATTTTAATGTGAATAAATGCCATGTTATGAAATGTGGAATCGGAGAAAATAGACCACATACAAATTACGAATTACGTGGAAAGGAATTACAGAACTCTAATAAAGAAGGAGACCTGGGAGTGGTTTTGTATAGTAAGTTGTCGCCAGAGGAACACATGAAGAACATTGTGAGAGGAGCGGATGTGTCGCTTTCCAACTTCACACTTGCTGTTAATTATATGGATGGTGAAATACTAAAGAAACTGTTCATGACCTTCGTGAGACCAAAACTGGAATATGCAGCAGTTGTATGGTGACCAAATCTCAAGAAGCACATAAAGAAACTATAAATGGTGCAGCGGCATGCTACAAAATGGCTTCCGGTACTGAAAAACAAGAGTTACGAGGAGAGGCTAGAGGCGTTAAGCATGCCAAAATTAGAAAATAGAAGGAAAAGAGGAGATATGATCACTACTTACAAAATACTATCAGGAATCGACCAAAATGACAAAGAGTAATTCCTGAAAACATCAACTTCACGAACAAGACGACACAGATTCAAGCTAAGGAAACAAAGGGGCCGAAAGATATTAGAAAGTTTTCTTTTGCAAACAGAGTGGTAGACGGTTGGAACAAGCTAAGTGAGAAAGTGGTGGAGGCCAAAACCGTCAGTATTTTCAAAGTGTTATACGAGAAAGAGTACTGGGAAGACGAGACTCCATGAGCGTAGCTCTCTCTCTCTCTCTCTCTCTCTCTCTCTCTCTCTCTCTCTCTCTCTCTCTCTCTCTCTCTCTCTCTCTCTCTCTCTCTCTCTCTCTCTATATATATATATATATATATATATATATATATATATTTTATATATATATATATAAAAATTGACCTCATACATAATGAAATGGGTAGCTTTATCATTTCATAAGAAAAAAAATTGAGAAAATATATTAATTCATGAAAACTTGGCTTATTAGGCAAATCGGGCCTTGCATAGTAGGCTGACAAGTGCGTTCTGGCTACTAGGTACGACATATATATATATATATATATATATATATATATATATATATATATATATATATATATATATATATATATATATACGTACATATACGTACATACACATAGCGTTTCCGTAGATTCAGGTTACATTATCTTGTATCTAAATAGCATAAGAGACCATTGAGCTCTATGTGAATAGGTCACAGTTCCAATGAGGGCATCTATTGTATGCTTCCGTGAACCCATCACTGACTCAACTGCCAGTGTGCTCAGCATCAAAGGCTGACGTCGGTTCGACGCCAATTCAATGACATTGAATTGGCGTTGCCCTATGCTATTGTGACCTCTGGAATATGTAATATTTATTTTGCTATACAATTTGTATATAATGCGAAAAATGTCCTGCATATCACAAATTTATAATATTTGCAACACGTCACAGTGACGTTGTTAACGCAGCCCAGGGGAGGGGGGAGCCGGCGGCCGAGCGGACAGCACGCTGGACACGTGATCCTGTGGTCCCGGGTTCGATCTCGGGCGCCGGCGAGAAACGATGGGCAGAGTTTCTTTCATCCTATGCCCCTGTTACCTAGCATTAAATAGGTACCTGGGAGTTAGTCAGCTGTCACGGGCTGCTTCCTGGGGGTGGAGGCCTGGTCGAGGACCGGGCCGAGGGGACACTAAAGCCCCGAAATCAACTCAAGATAACCCAACGCACACTTGAGTGTGTCTATCAAGAATTCCAGGTTCGAATCTCCGGCAGGACGGAAATGATTGGACGCATTTCCTTTCCCCCTAATGCCTCTGTTCACCTAGCAGTAAGTAGGTACTCAGGAGTTACCTTGTTTTGGG